AGGCCCATATTTCCTTGTTATATTGGCTACACCCAGCCCCTGCTCCCAAGGCTTTCTTCCCATAAGCACAAAAACAGTTAATGTGGATGGTCTTCCCCTAATGTGAATGGAGGTAACCTTCCCTTTAACGATACATCATTGTCTGTGGTCAGTAACTGTAGAGAATGAAGCATGAACCAGAAAAAAATCCCAATGAGGGAATAAGCCAGAGTCATGACAAACGAGACACCCTGATATCAACTGAGTGTTGCTCAGATGAGCTACCAGGCCAAGGTCAGCTAACAAAGATACTGGTCTCTACTGATGGACTGAGACTGGCCAAATAGATTGAACAAGGCTGGTGGAGTCTATTCTAGAACTGTTCTGGCACTATTTCTGGGGGGGCGTTAGCAGCCTTGGTGCCCTCCACCAGAGGGCATATTTGTCATTCCCACAAAGCTCCATGAGGTTGGTTCTCAGCTATCTGGTTTATCAGTCATTCCTCCTAAGCGTTGGTTGTAAGGCCACCAAAACAGTAGGTTGGAAAACAGAAAAACACTGATCATCTAACCTCATCTATAGTAGTTTCTCTATGATGTTTTACACTAACTTTCAAAGTTAGGGAGGAAAACTTATTTAGGTAACGTGCTTTCTTTCTTAGTTGAAATGTGGCAATGTATTTATTTTGGAAAACAAAACAAAAATTAAAGTGGTAAACTAAAGCTAACTCTACCTACACAGAATTCTGAATGAAAAGAGAAATTATAAATCCACAAACTTCAGAGGATTATGTTTAAAACATTCAAAAGATGAAATCTTCACTTTCTGGACTGGTTTTTATGCTCTGACCACTGCTTTAGCCCTGCCGGAGAACAAATGGTGGTCCATGGAGGAAAATTTGATTCTCTGTTTGTGACAAGTGTTAAAACAGACCGTCTATTCGTGTACTTCGACCCTGGTCTGATTCTCTTTGCAGTAATAGCCTTGGTACAACAGAACGGAGCATGATGTTTTGCTGACATCCTCGGGGAAATCACCCGGTGTTTCCAGCTTAAATCCAGCTCAGTGCCGCATCAGCCAGTGCGTTTCCTGGAGCTGATGCTGTTTTGCTGACACTGGAGAAATTATTCTTCCAGTCTTCTGGACTTTTTTTCAGCTACAATGGCAATTGATTAATTTGGCAAGAATGGTGATCCAAAGAGCAATGAAAACATTATAGGTAGGTATTAGTTCAACTAGCTAGAAGAATAATTGACGTGTTTATTAATTTCAAAAAGCTACCTAATTTCTGATTCTAAAAATGTTTGGTGTTTGTAATAGAAGATTTGGAGGCAAGTAAACAAATTGCTCACATTTTAAAACTCCAGGCAAACTATTTGACATACTTTCTTATCAGTTCTCATGATGAATAATTTCACACTGGTAAAGAGGTTACAATTCACATGGTCAAGAGACTGCAGGCTTGATAATTTGCTATTTCCACTAGCTGCATTTTTGCCACCAAAGCTCTTTCAAGGATAATTTATATAAATCAGTAGTCTTTTACCTAGAAGTACTATTATTCACATAAAATTTTTCTGTTTTCAGATACTTAAATTTTTATCTTCCTCTAATTTCATTTTATATAAAAGAAATGTAATAATAAACACTTAATGTGTAACTTTTTGCCAGCATTTCTGCTCACTCTTTTAAGATAGATTCTTAGGAGAACTAAATTGCCAGAACATGAAATATTAAAACAATATCTCTTTTATATACAATAACATTTTCCCATAATTTTATTTCCAGCACCAGTATTTAAAAAGACTGTTCTAGGGGCTGGAGAGATGGTTCTGTGGTTAAGAGCCCTGGATGTTCTTCCAGAGGGCCAGGGTTCGATTCCCAACACCCACATGGTGGTTCACAAAAGTTCAGTTTCGGGGGATTCGATGCCCGATTCTGGTCTCAAAGGCCACTGAAAACACAAGGTGCAGAAATATGCATGCAGGCCAAACAGTCCTAAATATAAAATAAAAATAAGAGTGAAAATACAGTTCTGAACCCTCACCTACACTGTGAAATTGGTAAATTATACATGACCGTTTGTTGTCATTTGTATCTCTTTGTCCTGTGAGTTTGAGCACTTGAAAGTTTGTATTTTATTTTATTTTATTTTATTTATTATTGTGGGTTTGGCGTATGTGTGTGTGTGTTGCTGGCGGTCTGAGGACAACTGCCAAGAGTGAGTGTCTGTTCTTTCCTTCAGCATGAGGCCCAGGGATTGAAGGAGACTTGCAGAGCAAGTGCTTTTGCACCCTGAGCTATGCCACTGTCTCTGAGGCCCTGAAGGTTTGGATTATTTTTTTTCTTAAACACACACACACACACACACACACACACACACACACACACACACACACACA